GCTTTCGCCCACTCACGCGCACGGGCCGGGCTCCGAGTCCCCACCAGCGTCCACTCTAGGACTGCAGTTTGCAGCTCTCTGGTCCGGACAGGAGCGCCGCGACCTTGCGTTTGCCAGAATCAATCATCAGCAGAAGAAGCCCCAATTCGGTCATGTGACCGCAAGGCCCCGCCCCACTTCCTCTGTCTATCTCAGGGTCCAGCAGCGGGTTTTCGGCTTCTTTGATGGCGCGGGGTGGCTGGGTCCTACGTGTTGCTGGGTATCTTTTTGGTCTGGGGAACCCAGGGACGTTTTACTACGGAGCCGAATCCCTAGTTCTTTTTATTTTGGAAACAGAATCTTCCTAAATTACCGAGGGTCTMGCTAAATTGCTGAGACTGGCTCCAACTTGGGATCCTCCTGCCTCAGCCTTTGGAGTACCTGGGATTACAAGAATAAAGAGTGCAAACCACGCCTGGCTGAAAACTTCATTTTCCAGAATTGCCAAACTGCTAAATTTTAGGATTGGCCACATAAATTTGCATGAGACGTCGAGCGTCAAGCATATTTGAGCTTAGAAGTTGGGTTTAAGAAAAAAGAAGTTGAGTGTAAGATCATAGCTGTTGAAGTTCATGCACGTCATTACCCGGGGCTCATTGTTGATTTGGGGCTGCAGCCTAGTGAGCAGCGGCTTCATCTTTCTCCAAATTTAGGAGAAGGGTAGAAGCTGAAATCCAGCTCCTCTAGATCTTATAGGATCTCCTTAAACTTTTCTGAATCCTGAGTCAGGTTCATTTGCAGCTTTATAGGGAAGCATGGCGTTCGTTTTTTTAGGTTACCTGTATCATCAATGTAGGAATTTGGAGGTGGTGAGAAAACAATGTGGGTCTAGCAAGAGACAGATGCGAGATTCACTTTGTCCTTGTTCTTCTCCACTCCACATCCATCTTCTCTTATCAACTGTCAGCCTAGCTGACTTAAGGCCTAGCACCAAAGCAATGTCAACAGACTTATATTGCTTATCTAGTTTCCAGCTATAAATTCCTTAGTGGTTCTGCTTCTCTGATCTTATTCTAACTAATGTACTTAATGTTCACATATGTTTCCAAGTTGTTAACGGTATCACTCTTAATGATGCACACCTGTAATCATTAATGAGTTTTCTATTGTTGCCATAACAAATTATTGTTGCTTGGGGATACTGAGGCAGGAAGATCACAAGTACAAAGCCAGCCTCAGCAATTTAGCGAGGCCCTAAGCAACTCAGCAAGATCCTGTCTCTACATAAAATATTTTAAAAGGGTGGGGATGTGGCTCARTGGATAAGCACCCCTGCGTTCAATCCCTGGGACCAAAAAAGAAAAACTGTTTTAAAGATAGTTCAGCATTAATTTATAGGGGTTTTGATTAGGTAGCATTTACGAAAACTAATATCCACAATTTTTGGTTTAAGACAGGCTGTTGCTAAGTTGCTGAGGCTGGCCTCAAACTCGAAGTCTTCCTGTCTTAACCTCTTAAATTGCTGGGATTACAGGTGTGGGCCACTGCACCCTATTTGATAGCTCTCAACAGGAGGATACATCCATATAACTCACACTCATGTCAAGATATATTTTTCTCATTCCAGAAAACACCTCAGTGTCCCTTCCCATTCAATTCCTACTAATGTAGACAATAATAATTCTAATTTTTCACTATAATTCATGTATGTGTTTTCTATTGTTGCCATAACAAATTATCACAAATTTAGCAGCTAAAAACACCACAAATTTATTCTCTCTTTTGTAGGACAGATGTTCAAGTGGACTCATTTAGCATTCTGCTTACAAGGCTGAAATCAATTTTTTTCTAGATGCTTTGGTGCTTTATAGTTTACTTTTTACATTTAAGACTCATCCATCTCTAATTAATTTTGCCTATAAAGTAGTATGAAATAGAGGACAAAATTCATTTTTAAGCACCTTCTGATTTTTTGATACCTCTGTTAAAAATCAATTAACCACATAAATGTGTGGGTCTATTTCAGGATTGTGTCCTGTTTCATTGATTATTTATTTAGACTGTACTAATACTACACTCTTAAGTATCATAACTATATACTAATTTGTATAATCAGGTAGAGTTAAGTCCTCCAATGTTGCTCTTCTTTTTGAAGATTATTTAGGCTTATTTGGAACTATTGCATTTCTGTATGTTTCAGAATCATCTTGTCAACCTGCTTAAATTATTATTGGGATTATTTTGACACTATAGATTCATTTGCCAGGAGAGACTTCTTAACAAATGTTGAGGCTTCTAATCCACAAATATAGTATGTTTCTATTTAGGACATTTCAGTGTTCTCTAAGAAACACTTAGGGGCTGGGATTGTGGCTCAGTGACAAAGAGCTTACCTTGCACTATTGGGCACTCAGTTCAATCCTCAACACTACATAAAAATAAATAAATAAAATAAAGCTATTGTGTCCATCTACAACTAACAAAATATTTTTTCAAAAAAGAAATAGTAATGTTTATATATTTTTTTATTTATAGATGGACACAATACCTTTGTTTTATTTATTTATTTTATATGGTGCTGAGGATGGAATCCAGTACCTCACATGTGCCAGGCAAGTGCTCCACAACTGAGCTACAACCTCAGCCCAGTAATTTTTAGTGAGGAGTTCTTGCATATACTTGATAAACTTATTCCAAAGTATTATTCATTGTAAGTGGGTTTTTTTAAATTTTTCATTTCCAGGTGTTTGATCTGGTTAATAGAAGATRAATTGGTCCTCTGATCTCCATAGATATACAGATTAATTCAAATACTTAGTAGATTTCTTAAGATTTTCCAGGTAACCATATTCTCTGCAAATGGAGATAGTTTTATTTCTGCCTTTCAGATTTTTGCCATTTTCTTTTTTTCTGTCTTTATTTCCAGGTCTGCCAATATAATGATGAATGAAAATAGTGAAAGTGGAGATCTTTGTCTTGTCCCTAATCTTATAGGAAAATCAGTTAGTATTTCATCTTTAAATATTATGTTATATGGAGTGTGCACAGCTGTCTTTATTCAGATTGTGGAAGGTTTCTTTTATTCCTGAATTTTGCTGAGCACTTTAATGATGAATAGTTTTGAGTGCTTTTATGCATCTATTAATATGGCCATAGGGTTTTTTTTTCCTCCTGTATCTTTTTTTCCCCTCTTTTTGTAGTGCTGGGGATTGAACCCAGTGCCTTGTGCATTTCGGGCAAGCACTCTACCAACTGAGCTATATCCCCAGCCCCCTCCTGCATCCTTTTAATGTGGTTAGTTATATGAACTGATACTCAACCGTTAAGCCATCCTTGCATTTTTGGTATGCTCTCATTTTATAATGATGTATTTTCCCTTTTATATATTTCTGGGATTCATTTTCCCAGTTTTTCATTAGGATTTTTTTTCTCTTTTTTTTTTTTCTTTTTGTACTTGCTACGTTGTTGAGGCTGAACTTGAACTTGTGATTCTCCTGCCTCAGCCTCCTAAATTACTGGGATTACAGGTGTGTGCTACCATGCCTGGCTTGCATCTACCTTTTGGAGGCATATGGTTTATAATATTCTTTTTAAGAAATGGAGAGAAAAGAGYAAATGCTTATCAGGTTTTGCTAGGAGAGTGAAGCTGGTCTTACAGAACACACTCTTTCCTGAAAGACTATTAAAAATTGACATTCTTTTTTTATTTATTTATTTTTTAGTTATCAGTGGACACAATGTCTTTATTTTATTTTATGTGGTGGGTGCTGAGGATTGAACCCAGAGCCTCACACATGCTAGGCACATGCTCTATCTCTGAGCCACAACCCACCCTAAAATTGGCATTCTTTATTAACTAATGTTATCAAATCTACTGACATAAAGATGTTCATAATATTCCCATGTTGCAGTTGAATTCTTAGAAAAAGTAGTAACTTTTTTTTTTTTTTTGCAGTACTGGTATTAAACCAGGAGCACTCTACCACTGAGTTATAACCCTTGCCTCTTTTTATAATTTTATTTTGACACAGGGTCTAAATTGCCCATACTGCCCTTGAATTTGCAAACCTCTAGCCTTATCTCTTTCTCTTTCCTAGTCTCAGTCCCTGGGAGTACAGGCATGCATCACTGCTTGGGCTTGTTTTTAATTTTGACAGTTTGGGGTTGTTTTTTTGTTGTTGTTGTTTTCCTTCGGAAATCGTGCCAATGTTCATCAATTTTATTAATATTTTCAAAGAGGCATCTTTTGGCTTTTATTAACTTTTTCTATTTATTTGTGCTTTTAACTTATTCCCTCTATTATTTCCTTCCATTCATTTTGGCTTGGATTGGTATCTTTTTCTATCCCCATATGGTAGAAACTTAGATTATGGATTTTACACTCCTCTTCTTTTCTAACATCATCCTTTAAAGCTTTACATTCCTTTCTAAAAAGCACTGCCTCACTGCATCTTGCATACAATTAGAAAATTTTCTGAACTGGAGGTATTTTCCACATCATCCAATCAAAACTATTTTCAAGGGCTAGGATTGTGGCTCAGTGGTAGAGTGCTCACCGAGCACATGTGGGGCCCTGGGTTCAATCCTCAGCATCACATAAAAATAAATAAATAAATAGTGTCCAACTCAAACTAAAAAATATTGATATTTTCAAATTTTCCTTTTAGATTTTTTAGTCAACCCATGGATTGATTATAGATTAATTAATTACATTTAATTTTCAAATATTTGGGAGWTTCCTATCTTTGTTTTTTAATTTTAAAAGTTTTGTGGGACTGGGGATTGAACCCAGGGTCACTCTACCACTAAGCCACATCACCAGCTTTTTTTATTATTTTGAACCAGGGTCTCACTAAGTAGCTGTGGTTGGCCTTGAACTTGTGTTCCTCCTGCCTCAGCCTCGTGAGAAGCTGGGATTACAGACATGAGCCAATATATTCAGCTTCTTGTCATATTTTATTGACCTCTACTGGAAGTCAATTGTAGTGGAGAATATTCTCAGTTATTTTATCTTTCAGTTCTTACATTTTCATGTGGTTCCTGTCTGTGCGTGCAYAGTGTGTGTGTTACTGGAGATTGAATACAGGTTCACTCTACCACTGAGCCACATCTCCAGTTCTCTTAATTTTTTATTTCATGACAGGATCTCACTAACTTCACCAGGCTGACCTTGAACTTGCAATCCTCCTGCCTCAACCTCCCAATTACCTGGGATTATAGGTGTGAGTCACCAGCTTGTTTCTTTTGCTATAGTAATTTTTTGGCTGAGATTACTCTTCTGCCCATTCATTATGAGAATGTTTTCCTTCAAATCTTTGGACATCTTATTTTTTATAATAGTTGTTTGAAAGTTTTTATCTGCTTGTTCCAACATTTTAAAGTCAGTTTAATTGATGGATTTTTCCCTTTGAAATAGGTCATATTTTCCTGTTTCTTTGTATATTTAGATTTTTTATTGTATGCTGGGCATTATTAATTTCACATTGTAGAGACTCTGGATTGAGTTATAATCTGGAGAGTACTGATTTGTGTTCTAGCAGAAAATTAATTTGGCTATATTCACACTAATTCTATTTCTCCTGTGGCAGGAGAAATATTCAATCAGTTCTTTTAGCGTCCAACGGCCGTTTTCCTGACATCCTCTGGAGTCTCCCCAACCCCAGCTTGCATAGTCCAGTGACCAGTATACATCAGGACAGATTTCATATGCAGTTTAGAGACTTTCCCCCTCTGAATCTCCCTCTTCCCAGGATGACCCTCATTGGTTTTCTAGCTGTTCTGCCAGGTTTCAGTTCTGTCCTCTTACCCTTCTGGTCAATGTGACTTCAGTTTTCTGCTACCTCATGTCACAGATACTGGAAGGTTTCGTTTTACACAAAAATTCATAAGCACAAAATTCCACTTAGTGCATTTCTCATCTTTCACTTATTGACTTCCTTCTAGTTTTTGCTTTCTTTCGTTTATTCTAGGATGCCTTTAAGTGGTTGTGCCCACCTCAAAAGATTATCCAGATTGCGTAGTAATTGCTATGGATGTTAGTCTGAATGAGCTATTCCATTACTATTGGAAGCTTGAACTCTCCTAGGAGCTCTGTTGAAAAATATCTCTTACCCTACTATCATGTCATTCTTCATGTGAACATAAAAGTGTTGGATGGTAACTAGGCTACCCTCTTGGATTACATTTCTCAATATCTCCCTTCCCYGTCTCTGTCTTATACTTGACTTCTTGATCAATGTATTATCTTTTCTTAGACCACAAATGCTAGAATCTCTATCAGTAGCCTCTTTATTAATTGAATTTGAGTATGCATTATACAGTAAGGCTATGGGGGAAATTACATGTGGATAGAAACCACATCCACAGGCTACTCTCAAATCTCTCCAGTCTTATACCCTCCCATTACAACCCAATTCTTRCCACCAGTTATTGGAACCATTTGGTGCTGGAGGGTAGTTTACCAAAAAATAAAAATAAAAAAAAGAAAGAAAGAAAAAAAGAAAAAAATCATCATAAACACTCTAGAGCTAAATTTTAGTTTATATACTTTAAGGAAACAGGAGGATGGAACCATTATAGATGTCATGTTCTACATTAGCCAAGAGAACAAGATAATGTCACAAAAGTGGGTGTGTGTCTGCAAAGCATGCTTTCTTTATATGGAAACCTATACTTCCAATTCTTTCAAACTCATACTTTCCAGTTGCAAATTGTAGAATATATCTCAGAACTTGAGTTTACTCCTTACTGAGAGATGATAAATGAGTCTCAGTAAATTCAGCCTCTACAATATGGCACAAGTTCCTATGCTTAGAGGAAGAATAGGACATAATCCCTGGAACACCGTGGGCATTAAAAATTGCCTGCAGATATTCTGGACATGCACAAATTCTGGCCTAGTCTAATCCTGATAAAACCTAGAACAGGAAACATAAAATCAGAGACTTAATCTCCTTTCCTGAGCATGAACAATGCTAACCTAAAGTTTTGTTTGTGCTGCTGTGGCATGAACCCATGGCTTCACACACGCCAGGCAAGTGCTGTACTGAGCCACACACCCAAGCCAATATCTCCTGTGGATTTTCTGCCTCCCATCCAGAAGGCAGCGTATATCAGCTGATCTCTGACAACCAAAACATACTTCTRGAGCACCTGAGCTAAGATTTATAAACATAAGATTCTTAATCTTTGCCCAGTCAGCAGAAGTAATTATTTATGATCAGACAGGACAGAGATGTTCCTAAAGAAATAATAATTGGTATCAGAAGCAAAATATCAATGTAGTGATCTGAGGTTATAGCTCAGTGGTGGAGCACTTGCCTAGCATGTGTGAGGCACCATATAAAAATAAATTAAATAAAGGCACTGTGTCCATCTACAATTAAAAAACCTTTTTAAATCAATATAGTTATTAATGATTAACTAGCCTATGCTATCATGTCAGCTGATCAGAGCTACAAGTAGAACTTTTCTGTATTCATAGAGGCATCATGAAAGAAGTAGGTGATTATAAATTGATATATAATGAAAGTCAGTATTGAATTTGACACAGACACAGGTGAGACAAAAAGTATTCAGTTATCCACCAAAACCAATAACATGACTTAGTTTAAATCAATCCCACAAACACAARTGGTAAAGAACTAGCTTTCTAATAATACAGATTAAATCGTTTTTATTAATTAAGGTATTAATGTTCTAATATACCACATTTATTATACTTATAATATTTAATAATCATATTAATTTTTAAATTTGTAACACTACATCTTGAACATTTTAATCAGTTTAAAGGAACATTGAAAAATTCCTCAGTATTGAGTTAAATAATAATAACCAAGAGAAGAATTAAAGCATCTGATCAAAATAGGAATTGATATCATTAATCTATTAATCTAATTTTTATGAATTATACCTTGCTAATTGGCTTTTACAAAGGACTACACAAATGATGGTTATGGAACTGGAGACATTTCCTCTGAGGAGATATTTAGGGGAATCAGCAGCATATCAGTCCTTAAACATTTAATGATTTCTCATGTGGGCTGGACATGGTGGCACACACCTGAAACTACAGAGACTCTGGAGAATAAGGCAGGAAGACTGCAAATTCCAAACCAGCCTGGGCAATTTAGTGAGACCTTGTCTTGAAATTTAAAAAGAGCTTGGAAGTTGCTCAGCAGTAGAGCACCTCTGCCTTCAATCCCAGTACCAGGGGAAGAAGAGGGATGCTGGCACAGTGTGCATGCCTAAAAACCCAGCAACTTGGGAGCCTGAGGCAGAAGGATTGCAATTTTGAGGCCAACCTCAGCAACTTAGCAAGGCTTTCAGTAACTTAGCAAGACCCTATCTCAGAATAAAAAAGGGCTGGGTACGTAGCTCAGCACTAAAGTGCCCCCTGGTTCAATCCCTAGTCACCCACTATCAAAACAAAAAAGATTTTTTCACGTGGAAGGATGATTTGTCGTTTGGCATCAGAGGGCAGAGCCAAAAGCAGTAAGTGGACATTATAGAGAAAACTGTACATACAGTATTAGGGAGAATTTTCTGTTAGAACTGTCCAGAAATCTAAGAGTCTTCTTGGTCGAGCAGATAAAGGCATAAGCCAGAAGAATAGCAATACCTCTAGAACTATTTGGCTAGAGGAGGAGATCAAGTGGAGGCTGTTTTGTTCTTTGTTGCTAAGGAATTCTATAAATGGATAGTAGATTTATATATATATATATCTTATTGGGTTCTACAATTTATGTGACCTACTGTCATACCTCCTACTGAACCCCTCTCCTAGTAGCCAAAAGTGGTTCCTTTCCCAGGAAGAAATAAAGGCAAATCCCTGACATGTGTCCCTCCCCTAAAGCCCTCTGGAGGCTATCTACACATTTGGGTTATATGGTTACATTTAGTCCCCATCATTGCTCAAATCCAAATATTTCACACTATTCTTGATTCCGTGACCTCGAAAAAGTTCCTTTTTCTTAGTGTTAATTTTTTTAAATGTTTGTTTTTTACTTTTATTTGTTTATATGGTGCTGAGAATTCAACCCAGTGCTTCACACATGCTAGGCAAATGCTCAACAACTGAGCCACAACCCCATCCCCATGTTTTGTTTTGTTTTTTGTTTGGTTCTTTGACTAGTCATATTTTTAGGTTTGAAGGCAAAATCATGGCTCACCAGAAACAATGATCCCTTCAGTTGGTCAAAGGATAAATATTTACTCTCCTGGTAATTACAAAGGTTCCAAAAGCAGACACAGTGATAGATCAAAGTTACAAATCTCTCTAGAGCTATACTACCTTAATCTGGATAGATGTGCTCAGCTAACACTATATATCCTCCCTGCCACTCACAGAAAACCATCATCACTACAACAGTACAATGATCCCGATGTTCTGTGGAAGAAACAGCTGGAAAGAAAATATAAGAAATTTACATGAGTTGTCTCTTTCTTCATTTCTATACTATTTATAAGTCTTAGCCATTCTATGAACAAYCAACTTTTGTATATGTCCATACAAAACAGGTTTTGCATGTCAGCCTCAATTTCTTCATCTATAAAATAAAGGTGATAAAGGTATCTAATTTGTAAATTTTTTTGGTACCAGGGATTGAACCCAGGGGTACTTTCACCACTGAACCACATTCCAAGTTTTTGATATTTTATTTATAGACAGGGTCTCACTGAATTGCTTAGGGTCTTGCTAAGTTGCTGAGACTGGACTTGAACTCAAGATCCTCATGCCTCAGCCTCCCAAGCTACTGAGATTACAGGTGTATGCCACTGCACCCAGAAAACTTGTATATTTTTGTGAGAATAAATAAGTTTACATACGTGAAGTGGTACAATGGTATTGGGTACACAGTAAGCTGTTGATATATTCTGGCTGTCATTATTACCCTGTGTTTCAGACCAGCCTCTCAGTGGCTGACATTGCAACCCTCGCGCCCTCATCTCTTAACACAAAGTGCCTAGGGATACCTAGTAGCTCCCTGATACTATGGACCAATGCTACCAGATCCCCTGTATATTGCATTAACATTTCTGTTTGTATTCTTTTAATTTCCTAGTATGCTATCAAAGGCCAAATCTGCCTCAATCTGGCATTTATCTTCTGTTGTTGCCCTTATATTCCAAGCAGAGATTTCTTCTAAAAGACAATGARGTCCACATTCCATTGACATAGACACTGACATTCCATTTGTTTTGCCTCTAGATAAACTACRCTTGGTTTTTCAATTTCTATTTTTGGTTTTTATATTTGCTTAGGTTGTTTTCTTAGCCTTTACCAATTGATACTTAAATTCTCACTGTCACCTCAAATATAATATAATATAATAATTCTCATGGTCCTGATCAGAAGTTATCAATATCTTTGCCACCTAGGGGCTTCCATGGCATGGAGGTAGCTCTGGGCATAATCAGGGAAGCCAGATAATCCATCCTGCAAAGGGAATGAGAAGAGTCAAGCCTGGGAGCCAATCCTTATCCTGTCATTTACTAGCTGTGCAATCTTATGTGAACTGTAGAACCCTTGGAGCCGTAACTTCCCCTTTTAGAAAATGTGAATATTCTTGGCATATGAAGACATTTTAAATGAGTATAGAAAGGCAGCTGACAAGTCAGGCACAGTGGCAAACACCCATACTCCCAGCAACTCACAAGGCTGAAGGAAGAAGATTATGAGTTGAAGGCCAAACTGGGCAACTTAGTGAGACCCTATCTCAAAATAATAATCAAAACGGGCTGGGAATGTGGTTCAGTGATGGAGCACCCCTGGGTTCTCCAGTACCACTGAAAAGAAAARAGAGAGACAGCCAGGTGTGCTGGTGTATACCTGTAATTCCAGCAACTCAGGAGGCTGAGACAGGAGGATTGCAAGCTTGAGGCCAGCCTCAGCAATTCAGTGAGACCTTGTCTCAAAATAAAAAAGGCTGAAGATGTAGCTCAGTGGTGGAGTGGCTCTGGGTTTAGTCTGAAGTACTAAAGAATAAAATGTTTTTAAAAAGGCAACTGACATTTCCAGGCAATGCACAACATCTGCTAAACAATTTTGCTTCCCTTTTTGCACTTCTCTCAGAAGCTGAGAACCCCACCAGCCCTTTCTGGAGTCGATCTCAGTTTAGTCCAGGCTTCATGATAGGAACCCCAAGCTCTTTGCAGTTTTGAGCCATATCACCATGTACATTAAAGAACCTAAGATACTATTAAAACAAACTAACAAGACAGGTACAGTGGCACATGCCTATAATCCCAGCAACTCAGAAGGCTAAAGCAGAAGATCATGAGTTCAAAGACTGCCTCAGCAACTTAGCTAGGCCCTGAGCAACTTAGAGGGACCCTGTCTCTAAGTAAAATATAAAAAAGGCTGGGGATGTGGCTCAGTGGTTGCATACTCTTGTGTTCAGTCCCCAGTACCCAAACCCAACACTGTTTTCCCACTTAGCCATAAAACTTAAAAGGGGCCTGCATAGTTATTTGACAATCAGTTAGCAAAGAGAGTAGAGGAGCTAAGGTGGTATCATTCTACTCCAATGGAGGAAGGAAACCTTCCCAGAAGATGGCTGTATAAAGAAAAGCAACATATGACTACATGACCTATGTGATTTTGCATCATGTACAACCAGAAGAATGAGAAATTATGCTCCATATACATATGATGCATCAAAATGCATTCTACTGTCATGTATAACTAATTAGAACAAATTAAAAAGAGGAAAGCAAGCTGAATCTTTGAGGATCTAAGGGAAAATAAACATGATGAAATAATCTAGGACAGATAAAAATCACCCCAAGGGCTTCAGTAGAATACTAAGGTTACCCTCCACACCTACCTTGAGGCTTCTACCAAATTAGAACTTTTTCAATTGAGATAATTCTTTAATACTCACATCACTATCTACACTGTAATGGATTTCATTATTCTCCTTCAAAACAGACACTTCCATCTATTACCTAAATTGACAGTATTATGATACTAACTATATAAGCTATAGAACCATCATGGTTTACTAAGGTCTATGGACTCCAGGGTCTGCTCTTATACTGTTATGAAAGGGTGGCCCCAGGAATTGTTATGGCTTGATTTTTTTTTATTGTGGTGCTGGGGAATTGAACCCTGGGCCCTGTGCATGTGAGGCAAGCACTCTACCAACTAAGCTATATCCCCAGTCCTGTTAAGGAATAATTCAAACATAATGAGTATTGTTGAAGAAAAACATTCTGTTTAAAAAGAATTTCCTGCACTGCAGAGAAACCATGGGAGACAGAACGCTGGACCCAGAAGGGCTCTTACCAACACACCCTCTGATGTTGGAATATGATGGTAGGTTTACAATGAAACCAACTGCAAGTTCCCTGAGTGTAGGAGCCACGCAAAAAAAAAAAAAAAAAAAAAATTACTCCACTCCCCCGTGTCTAGCAGAGCAGCTGCGTGAGTAAAATGATTTGAAGTAAGATTTTGCTCATTCCTGTAAGATTATAAAAATAGATGTTGACCTTTTCCATTTTTTTCTTCTCATTTTTTTGGTACTGGGGATTGAACTCAGGGGTACTCAACCACTGAGCACATCCCAGGCCCTATTTTGTATTTTATTTAGAGAGAAGTTCTCATTCAGTTGCTTAGGGTCTCCCAAGTTGCTAAGGCTGGCTTTGAACTTGCAATCCTCCCTAGCCATAGGGATTACAGGCATGAACCATCGTGTCTAGCTCCATTGTTTTCTTGATTTGCCCTTCCTACCACATGCCTTCCTTGAAATCCTATATTCATTTGTGTACACAACTAAATTTCATTATAATTTCATGGAATGCTACAACAAAAACTATGTAGCTGGAATCAAACTTTTAACTCCAAAAGTCCCTTCCAGTCACTTTGTCTTCTTTACTGATTTCTAGTTTGTAGGTCTCCCTCTAAGCTGTTTTTCATGGTTAACATTTGCCACCACTAGATCATGTGTAGCAAGCCCAATTTGGTACACAGATGTGGTTGAGGGCTATAAACAGGTTTGAAAGAGCATATTGGCGATAGTCAGTACGGGGCAGAAACAAAGTTAGTTTCAAGTAGGTCAGTCCATGTGAAGTCAGAACAAAAAAGATCCAAGTGACGGGATCAAAAAACCAGGTCAGAGATGTTATGTAATTAGCAAAAAGAAGCAAAAACAGAAACAAGGAGGCAAAAGAATCTTAAGAGCATATGTTGAGTGTTATCTGTTCAGCTGYACCTAATCCTTGTGCATAGTCTAAATCAATGGTTCTTAATCTTGGCTATTTACTGGAATTACCCGAGGAGTTTAAAAATTCCTGGTGCCCAGGTTGTACTAACATATCAGGTTTCATTTGCATCCTGGAGCTGGAAATCAGGTATCTTTTAAAATTTCTCRTGCAATTTCACTTTTCCAAATTTTTGTAAGGATTTTTCAATCTGCTTTTTTTTTGGAGGTTGGGGGGGGGTACCAGGAATTGAACTCAGGAGTGCTCAACCACTGAGCCACATCCCCAGCATTTACTTTTTTTTTTTTTTTTTGGTACTGGGGCACTCTACACCTAAGCTACTTTCCAGCCTTTTTATTTTGACACAAGGCTTGCTAAGTTGCTGAGGCTGGCCTTGAACTCATGGTCTTCCTTCCTGAGGTTAGGAAGGCTAGGTTAACAAATGCCTGGCATGCCCCACAATTTTAATGGGAAGTATCTTCAGCTTTTCACAACTTCATGTGTCCCCTGCCTCAGCAAAACCAACAATCCTCCAACTGTACCAAAAATACCTTGGCCTTGTTGCCACCTAATCACTGTCCTCTTTCTAGGTAATGGCATTTATCTCATGCTCAGATGTTCCATTTTCTAATGTCTGTGTGTGTGTGTGTGTGTGTGTGTGTGTGTGTGTGTGTGTATGTGGTGCCAGGTATTGAACCCAGGACCTTGTACATGCAAGGCAAGATTCTACCAACTGAGCTATATCCCCAGCTCCTCTAATACTGTTCTTTAAAAGGATCATAGATATTCACATTTACTCCTTCTTGGTCTTTTCCATACAYAGCAACATTTCAAGGAAGAGGGCTAGTGACTATGCAACACAGCCCTTGTTTGTTTTCTTTGTTTTTTGTTTGTTTGTTTGTTTGTTTTTGTATTTTGTTCGTTTGTGGTACTGAGGATTGAACCCAACAGCACTCTACCACTAAGCTACAACTCTATCCCTTTTTAAAATTTTGACTCAGGGTCTCTTGCTAAATTTCTGAGGCTCACCCCAAATTCGTGGTCCTCCTGCCTCAGCCTCCAGAGAAGCCTCATTATGTTTTTTAATATTTTAAACAAATCTATACAATCAGGAGAAAATGAATGTTTTGTGAATTTAGTACATTCTATCCATCATGAATTTTTTTATGTTGATGGAAGGCTGAACGGACACTGAAGGTTTTCTCACATTTCTTACATTTGTAGGACTTTTCTCCTGTGTGAATTTTCTGGTGTTGAATAAGAGATGAACTCTGGCTGAAGGCTTTCTCACAATTGTTGCATTTATATGGTTTCTCTCCAGTGTGTGTTCTCAGGTGCTTTGTAAGGGATGAGCTCTGGCTGAAGGCTTTCTCACATTCTTGACATTTGTAAGGTCTCTCTCCAGTATGAATTCTCTGATGTCTCACAAGAGCTGACCGGTCACTGAAAGCTTTCCCACACTCGATACATTTGTAAGGTTTCTCCCCAGTGTGTGTTCCTTGGTGTTGAATGAGAGCTGAGCAATAACTAAATGCTTTTCCACATTCACTACATTCATATGGCTTTTCCCCCGTATGAGTTCTCTGATGTTGAATAAGACCTGACCGGTCACTGAAGGCTTTCCCACACTCTTTACAGTCATAGGGTTTTTCTCCAGTATGAACCCTTTGATGTTTAATGAGGGAAGAAGTGTCATTGAAAGCTTTTCCACATTCCTTACACTTGTAGGGTTTCTCGCCAGTGTGTATTCTGTGGTGCTGAATGAGGTATGTGCTTTGGTTGAAGGCCTTCCCACACTCATTGCACTCATAGGGCTTTTCTCCAGTGTGAATGATGTGATGTTGAATAAGGGCAGACCGGTGACTGAAGGCTTTCCCACATTCACTGCACTCATAAGGCTTCTCTCCAGTGTGAGTCCTCTGGTGCTGAATAAGTGATGAGCTCCGGCTAAAGGCCTTTCCACACTCACTACACTCAAAGGGCTTCTCTCCAGTATGAATCCTCTGATGTAAGACAAAGGCTGAGCAGTAGCTGAAGCACTTCCCACATACAYTGCATTCCCATCGCTTTTTCGCCCTGTAAACTTTCTGATGTTTAATTGGGTTGGAGCTCTCCCCAATTTCATGATAATGCTCTGCAGTTTTTCTCTTACGTTTGATTATGACTGGCCTTAAATCTTTCTTCAGATTTCCTGGATGCCTTTCTAATGAGTGTTCACATTCCCAGGCTTCTAACAATGTGGAGCCCCAGGAATCATCCTTTTCAAGTCTTTCTATTACCAGTTSCCTTTCAGGTGATTCCTCTTCATAAACTTCCTGCTTTGAAAAAAACTCTTTAGTTTCAGGCATAGATTCAGAATCTGAAATAAATAAAAATAAAAAATGTGTGTGATTTCTGTGTTGAGGAAACAAAAACTGCTAAGGCAAAATTAAAACGATGCCTATAAAAACATATATGTATATCAGGTACATGTATAAATGTGTAGCAAGGAATCCCACTACCATGTATAATTATAATGCACCAATAAAAAATATGGGGGAAAAACATATTTGAATGACTAATAAAAGGCATTATACTAATAAAAGGTCAGACGATGAGGATGCTGTATCTAATAGAATAGAAAACTGTACACAGAAACCAGGGAAGAGGATGAACAGAGGAATGAGAATAAATGCTAACATAAAAGAACTGAGGAAGGATGGAAAGATTACAACACAGATTGAGACTTGAAGGTTTTTAAAAATAAATCACTCAAAATGATACTACCTGAAGACTAGCACATGTGGCTTTTTATATAGCTCTCTTCAGCCCTCCCCACCTGGTGTGTGTGTGTGTGTGTGTGTGTGTATTGATATTTTGCTCTGTTATCAGGCTGGTCTTGAACTTTCGGGCTCAACTAATCCTCCAGTCTCAGCCTCCTCAGTAGCTAGGACTACAGACATGTGCCACTGTGGCTCTCAAGTCCTTTTATTTTTTTTAATATTTATTTTTTAGTTGCAGTTGGACACAATATCTCTATTTTGTTTATTTATTTTTATGTGGTGCTGAGGATCGAATGTAGGGCCTCACACATGCTACATGAGCACTCTACCGCTGGGCCACAACCCCAGCCCTCTCRAGTCCCTTTATAAAGACACAGAATTTTTGTTTGTTTTCTATCTGTTTTACATATGATTTTGAGTCTCCTTCTCCTCCCTCCCTCCCTTCCTTCCTTTCCTTCCTTTTGTCACAGCCAAACTTCTCAAGCAGATTCTGCACCTTCCTTTCATCACAAGCTTGCTCCTGTGCTTGCTGCATTCTGGCTTCTCTCCCGACCACTCAGTTGAAAGTTCTCTCACTGAAGTCACTAACCATTTCTACCGTGCATAAATCCAGAGGATCCTTTTCAGTCCTGTGTAGTGTGGTATCTAGGCAGCACTTGACACTGGGGCCAAGCCCTCCTCTCCTGACTCTCTCTCCTGACATTCTTGATTCTATGCTGCTACAGTCTGGATCTGGAATATCTCTCAGAGGCCAAAGGGTTAAAGGCTTGGTTCCCCATCTTGGCACTATTAGGGGGATGGAAACTCTAAGAGGTAAGGCTTACTGTTAGGTTTTAGGTCACTGTGTATGTACCTTCAAAGGTGCTGTGGGACTCTAGTCTCTTTCTCTCTCAACTTTTGCATCCCAGTCATGAGGTGAACAGTTCTGCTCAGCCACATGCTACCTGTCATGAGGCACTGTGTAACCACAAGCCCAAAAGCTATCGGGCCAACTGACCGTGGACTGTAACCTCCAAAACTGTGAATCAAAATAAATCTTTTTTATTTATAAATGTATTATCTCAGGTATGTGTTACAGTAATGGAATGCTGACTAACACAGCATAAATGCTCTCCAGGGTTTTCTCCTAAACTTTTTTTTTTTCAGTACTGGACATTAAACCCAAGGATGCTTTACCATGGAGCCACGTCCCCGGTACCTTTAGTTTTATTTTGAGACAGGGTCTCACTAAATTGCTGTGGCTGGTCTTGAACTTGAGATTCTCTTACTTCGGCCTCCTGCAGCCACTGCATCCAGCCTTCCTAATCTCTGCTACTTCTTTGGAACTTTTCCTGGTGTTTCTTTTTCTTAAATGTTAATAATTCTTAGCAATCAGTCTCAGTTCCCTTCTTCTTGCCCCTCTGCCTACTTTCTCTACTTTAAAGACCTATCTATGCCATGGTTTTAATAACCTGCTATAGACCAATGATTCCAAATCCATTTTTCCAGAATTAATTACCACATTAATTCTCTCTCTCCCACATCCATATATTCAACTATCTATATTATGTATGCATTTGAAAATCTCAAGTTTAATGTTACCTGTACCACAAACTTAAAATTACTTATACCTTGATTCATCTCCTCTCTCAACTTTATACATTTATAAATATATACATTCCACTATATATTTCCCCATCTAAGGAAATAACAATGCCATCATTCTTGTTAACAAAAAGATTTTAATATAAGAATATAAACTTTGCCACCAAAAGGYAAGTTATGTTAGGGAAGGAATAACACCTCTCTTGTTCACTGATATTACCCAGGGCCTATTACAGTGCTGGTAGAGAGAAAGCATGCATTAATAGGTCATATGAAGTAGACACAAATAATATAAGTAATGAAGCAACTCTGGAGGGCAATTCTTAAGATTCTTTTATCCCATTATGAAAACATACCTGATATTTCAGGCAAATATATTCTTAAAGTTGTCATAAGTTTCAGAAATTGACAATATCAGAATAAATGAAATTCAACATATAATATGAACTTAAATTTAGATTAAACACTCTCATGGTATTTGTTATGGTTTGGATGTGAGGTGTCCCCCAAAAGCTCATGTGTGAAACAATGCAAGAAAGTTCAAAGAAGAAATGACAGTCATGAAAGCCTTAACCCAATTAGTAAATTAATCRCATGATGGGATTAATTGAGTGAACACTGAAGGCAAGTGGGGTGTGGCTGAAGGAGGTGGGCATTGGAGGCATAGCTTTGGGGTATATATTTCTATCTGGCAAGTGGAATGTCTGTCTGTCTGTCTCTCTCTCTCTCTTTTTCTCTGCTTTCTGATCATCATGTGAGCTGTTTTCCTCCACTACGCTCTTTCACCATGATGTTGTGCCTCACCTAGAGCCCCAAGGAATGGAGCCTGCTACCTGTGGATTGAGACCTCTGAAACTCTGAGCCCCCAAATAAACTTTTCCTACTCTATAGTTGTTCTAGTTGGGTCCTTTCATCACAGTATCAAAAAAACTGACTAAAACACTATTCATTATGTGTAAGCTGCTATCCAGTGTGTGTGTGTGTGTGTGTGTGTGTGTGTGTGTATGTGTGTGTGTATGTGTGTGGTGATGGGGATCAAAATAGGACCTTGCACACACTAAGCAAGACTCTACCACAGAGCTACACCCCCAGCCCCATAAGTTGCTATTCTGCTATTCTAAAGGGTTAAATATACAAATACAAAACCATGAAGTTGTTGAAGCTGAAAGTCAGAGAACTGAGAATCCCACTGGATTCTTCCCTACATCCTACCAATCACAAAATATAAATCACCAAGTTTTATGGATCATACCTCCCAAAGCTCTCTCAGATCCATTATGAACTCTCCCTCCCCATAATTGTCACCCCAATTCAGCCACCATCCTCTCTCACCTACACTAATGCAACAGCCTCAATTTCAACTCTGGAATGAAACTGATCACACCAAATTATGTATACATATGAGTATGGATCAGCTTGCAACCATGGATCAGCTTTCAACCATGCTCTATGCACCACTTCTCAACACTACTCAAGATTGAGTGCACCATAGTTAGAGTAATCAACAGATAAAAATGAATGATTACCCAGAGAGTAGAACTGTGAGAGATTGAAAATTACTATGATTGTTACATAAAGTGGTGGACAACATGCATGAACAGTTGGGGAATTTTGGCAGAGATATGGAAAGTATAAGAAAAAGTAAAATGGAAATAACAGAAATAAAGAAACATGGTAACAGAGATGAACAATGTCTTTCTAACTATGTACTTGACATAGTTAAGAAAAAGAATAAACTTGCAAATAGGTCAACAGAAATCACCAAACTCAATACAAAGAAGAAAAAAGAGTGACAAACAAACTAGCAAATCAGAACAGAGCACCTAAAAACTGTGGGACAAAACCAAATACTCTAACATACACGTACCTAAAATCCTAGAAAGAGATGAGACAAGGAGAATTGGAAGAAACAGTATCTGATGAGTTAGCAACTGAGAAATTTACTAAACTAATGAAAGACATCAAATTGAAGATGCAAGGAAGCTCAAAGAATCCCTTGTAGGTTGAAAACACACACACACAGAAACACACACCCCTACCCAGATGATCACATTCAAACCACTGAAAACCAAAGATAAAGAACAAGTCTTAAATTCAACTATAGAGCCAGGCATGGTGATGCACACCTGTAATCYTAGCAATTTGGGAGGATGAGGCAGAAGGATCACAATTTCAATGCCAGCCTCAGCAACTTAGTGAGGCCCTAAGCAACTTAGATCTTGTCTCAAAATAAAAAAATAAAGAGGGCTAGGGATGTAGCTCAGTAGTTAAGCACCCCTGGGGGTCAATACCTAGGACCAATTTTTTAAAATGGGAGCAGGGAGGTACTGGGGTTGTAGCTCAGAGCCTAGCATGTGTGAGGCCCTGGGTTTAATCCCCAGCACCACATAAAAAAACTAAATAAACAAAATAATGTTACTGTGTCCATCTACAACTAAAAATATTTTTTAATCCCTCTATTTAAAAAAAAAAGACAGAAATTTTCCAACAAAGCAAATGCCAGGCTCAGATGGCTTTACTGGACCAAGCATTTAGAGTTATAGCTAACCGAAGTTTGCCTTACAAAAAGTCACAAAGACCGTTCTTAAAAGTTTTCTTGTAGAGTTTTTATATTTATTAAATATGGCAGGAGGTATGGATTGAAGGGTTTTTTTWAATATTTATTTTAGTTTGAGGTGGACACAATATCTTTATTTTATTTTTATGTGGTGTTGAGGATCAAACTCAGCACCCTGCGGATGCCAGGCAAGCATGCTACCGCTTGAGCCACATCCCCAGCCCATGAAGGTTTGTTGTTTATTTTTATTTTCTTTCTTTCCTTCCATCCTTCCTTCTCTTTCTTTCTTTCTTTCTTACAAATCGATATCCAGCTGAACAACTGGAAAGAAGAGTCTCCTTCTTTCCCAAACCCTGGTTCTCCTTCCTCTACTCAACACTTGATCTTCCTATTTATTTACTGTTTTTTAAATGGAAACTTTATATATAAATATATATGAAATTCA